GCTGATAAGGGTGAGCCCAGAGGAATGGGAGTCCCGCTGCCGTATATAAATCAAGACGCAAGCTGTGAAGGCAGCAAAAACAGTTCTGGGATCATTTTTTCTTTATGTCCTGGGGTTCGAGACAACTGATTGGGGAGATGTCATGGCAGCGACATGAATAAAGCCGTGCTATCTCATGCACTAAGGATGCTCTTCCAGGAAGGATGTGGCTGCCTCCTGATACACCCAGGTGAACTTGAAAAGTAACAATCTACCCAACTGATCATCCGAGCCAGCCTAGCCCACCTGACATGTGCTCAGAACACTTCCATCAGCCCCCCATCGGGCAGAATCACCTAATACACTGGCTACACTGCAGGGTGTCCTGGCTGACCCTGGTCATCACGGGGCTGACCAGGAGCTGAGCTCAGGGCCGCTGCCCAGCATCACAAGAAAGCATCCTACTGCCCATTGCTCACCTGGGAAAGGCTCAACATTCAAAATCCGAAGCACGATTCCTACGCGGTGCATATCCTTTTGGTACCATCGTAAAATCCAGAAATATTTTGCCAGGACTTGAGTCTAAAACTTGACCCTGACTGTGTCCAGCAACAACAGCTGATGTTGATCTGATCCTTAACCTGAGCCACACTGGGCGACAAGCACTTAACCTATCGTATCTTCCTAGACACAACACTTTATTGGCAAACACTATTATTGCTACCATCATTTTACTGATGATGACACTAAAGATTAGAAAGGTTAAACCCTAGCTGGTTTTGCTCAGTGGATAGAGCAATGGCCTGAGGTCTGAAGGGTCCCGAATTTGATTCCGGTCAAGGGCACATGCCTCGGTTGCAGGCAATCCCCAGGGCCCATGCGGAAGGCAACCAATTGATGTTTCTCCCTCTCACATTGATGTTTCTCTCTGTCCCTCGCCCTCCTATCCACTCTCTCTAAAAATAATCAATGCAAAAATATCCTGGGTGAAGATTACCAAAAAATAACAAAATAAAATAAATTTAAGAAAGAAAGGTTAAAGAACCCTTCCCTTTTTTTAAGGCATAGTATAAAAGCCCACTTTTACTCATGACATAGCTAAACTGGTCCTCCGCCCTTCAATATGCAAGCATGCCATACTGTGCATAAAGGTGGGTGTCTTGCTCTCATTTGCAAGAGTCCAAAAATAAAAATTAATAATTGAGTTGCCAAGGTGAAACCCATCACAGCAATAAACAGCAAAACACCCTTCATCCTTTGATCAGTGAATTCTGTACCTAAGCAAAATAATTACTGCTTTCATAAAATGTCTCTCTTTGCCACCGACAGAGAGAAAACTGAATGCATTGGCCCTGCAGTCATCTTTAAGCACCCAAGGAGAAGGATCAAAATAAAAATAAATCTTGGCCAGATTTACGGGTGCACCTTGAGGAGGTCTTGTTTTCCCCCTTCAAATACACAATACCTGCAAAAAATGAAAGGCGAATGTGGAGACCAGATATCTTGTAACAGATGGGTTTTCTCTGACATACAGTATGGGATGATGCCGTAAACATCATGCTGGCCCATCATTCCTGAGGCTTACCAGCAAAGTAGAGCCCGAGACCGAAATAAAAAAAAAAAAGGAGAATTCTTCAGGATGCGGAATGGTGTAACCACTCAGATTTGCAGAAACTATCATTTTTTAAGTGTACTTCTTGGACTTTTGTTATATTGCGGTTTTTTGTTGTTTCTCCGCACATCTGTTTCATGGCTTCAACTAGTAACAGTTTTTTCATTCAAAAATTCTAACTTTAAAATCAAATGTCATTCATTCAGATACTATTCTGGTGCTGGCTCATGAGAAGGCATATCTGGTAGGAATTTGATTATAGGCAATATAGCATAACTGGAATTGGTCACTCACTGGGCCATCATTCCCTTTTGGCACCTCAGGTCTTTAGCAGTAATTGTGATCAAACCCTGGCTGGTTTTGCTCAGTGGATAGAGCTTTAGCCTGAGGAGTGAAGGGTCCTGGGTTCAATTCCAGTCAAGGAATCAGTTGCAGGCTCCTTACTGGCCTGGGCCCTGGCCCAGGTTCCTGCAGGAGGCAACCAGTCCATGTGTTTCTCTCACATCGATGTTTCTCTCTGTCTTTCCCTCTCTCTAAAAATCAATGGAAAAATATCCTCTGGTGAGGTTTAACAAAAAAAAAAGGAAATGGCAATCAATAAAGGATTATTATTTGTAAAGAGTGAAAGTCTCATTTTTCTATAAATCGCCCTTTGGAAAGAAACTTCATTTCCCTTAGGAAGGCGTTATCTAAGATGCATTTGGCTAGTTGACTACAGAAAATACCTGTTAAAGGAAAGAAGGTCCCCATCAGAGCTGTGGAAACCTGATTTCATTTCAGATTTGAGAACTAATGTTGTTGTTTTTTGTTTAAATAGATTGTGTCTGTCAATTTCCAGACCCGCTGAGCCACCAGCCTGCGTGGACCGCCGTGGTCAACACGGGGGTTGTAGCAGCAAATTTTATTAGGGGCTGGTAATTGAATTGAACAGGTTTACATTTGAATAGATTTACTACATCCTGATCCCTGACACACTGCCTGGGACTCAACTCCCTCTCCATCCATAAAGACACACTTAAGAGGGGATCATTCTCTCCAGGCGGAGAGGGCTGGTCTGCAGTCAAGGCGATGACCATGCAGAATTGTGCATTTATATGCCGGACGGAATGCCGTTTGTCACTGCATTTTGTTTTCAAGTACAAAAATAAAAGAGCGTTCCGTATTTGCTCATAACCATTCCATCCTCCCTCTTTGGGGGAAGGGCCTTAGAGAACTGGTATTTGCCCATCAAAGTAGGCATAAGAGGGTAGAGGAAAATGAATTATTACATGAGTAGATCAGCCACAGCAGCCATTTCCTTGAAGAGAAACCCTCTACAGGATCGAACTGAAGAGGCATGAATATTACACATAAGCACCACACCCATTGCCTTTCACCAACAACATTTAATTAGACACAATTCACAGCTCTTGAGTCGCTCTAAGCACCTTTCAAGATGGCTCCTGCTTAAGAACCACAAGAGGGTAAAAGTATTCGGGGCAAAATATTGTTTTCTATCCTTCTCATACCTGGAAGGACACACAGTCGTGTAAATCGCAGCAGTAACATCAAACCGATCAGAACGTTTCTATCCATCTGGAAATGGAGGTGTATCCAGTGTGCTCCAGATTGTGAAAATAAAATCACTATCTACGACACATCAACTCAAAAGTTGTTAATTCATGTATTACTTCCATAACACTTTTAAAAATGGACTTGCTCTTTGAAAACAATGACTTCTCAGCTCCCGACTCTTCATTAAGCATTTTTCTGTTCCTATCAAGGAAGGAGTTCATTCTCAGTGGACAAGCCACAGAGAAACATGGTGTGAATTCCACACCCCCACCCCCAAATGATCTGATCTACTCATTGTCCTATCACACTGCTCCCGGGAAAACTCGTGGAATAAGAACCAACCAGGAAAAGTGATGAGGTGGGCAATGCCACGCCGAGTGAAGCTCCGGTTCGTTCTTGGGGAACACACGTGGATCTTTAAATGCGGAGGTTAAAAAGCCAGTGATCGCCAGTAACAACACAACAAACTCACAGAGCCAACCCTAACGAGGCAGTCTCTGACTTCGCAGAAGCTGTACATTTAAATATTTACTTTACCTCATTTTCTCTCAACTGTCAATGACCAAGCTTTCATTTTGTTCCTTTATAAAGCTACTATATTTAGTTTAAATTCTGACAAATTTTCTGAAGAGAAGGAGATAGTATAACTCAAAGGCAGTATGTAACACGCGCATTTATAAAGGCATTCCTATGCACAAAGATACATTAAAAAAAAACAACCCACACACACAGCTAAATCTAGGGTTTTCAAATTAAAAAAAAACACACATACAAATTTTCTCTGAGCTAGAATGTTAGTTTCACAGATATGCTGAGATACACAAATATTTCAGGACCTTTGATATGGGTGGGAGTTGAGTGAATTCTAGAATCTGACAATTTGCTTCCAGTTCCCGGCTGTGCGAGCTTAGTCAGTGTGTTCAGAGCAGAGTACGCACTCGCACGGTTATTATCTTGTGTATGTTGCTATTCTCCCCAACTGAGAGCAACAATGTCAATGTCATGATTGCAAGTTCTTCATAATAGAAAATCAATCCAAAAGATAAGATTAGAAGACAAAAAACTGTGCTTTAAATCTAAGATTAGCCGAAACCGGTTTGGCTCAGTGGATAGAGCATCGGCCTGCGGACTGAGGGGTCCCAGGTTCGATTCCGGTCAAGGGCATGTACCTGGGTTGCGGGCATATCCCCGGTAGGAGATGTGCAGGAGGCAGCTGATCGATGTTTCTCTCTCATCGATGTTTCTAACTCTCTATCTCTCTCCCTTCCTCTCTGTAAAAAATCAATAAAATATATTTAAAAAAATAAATAAATAAATCTAAGATTAATTAAGCAAGAAGAACATGGTAGCTACATGAAGTGATGGATATATTAATTAGCTACATGACAGCAATTATTTTACAAAATACATGTATATCAAAACAGCAACTTGGGCACATTAAATATATACTTTGTCAATCCTAGCTCAATAAAGATGGGAAAAATCTCTCTGCGAACCTGATAAAGAAGAAATGCAGAAAGACAATAACAGTCATCTCCTGGTTGCTCTCCATCTTCCGCCTTCTGGAAATTGTAAGGATGAAGAAAACCAGAATTGCCCAAACCTACCTGGTGGGTTGAGCCAAACAACAGGTATGTCATACCTTGTCCCTTCCTGTCGATGTCAGCAGCTAGCCACGAGGCATCAGAGCGGTCAGAGAAAGAGGAGGCGCTCCGCCCTCAGATTCGGGCACTTACTGTGACCCCCATCTTTTCCTGGTTTCTCTCGCATTGTGACAATTCCTTGTGCCCCCCCCTCCCCCCCGCCACCTCCCATTCCCAGCCTGAAGCGCAGGGCTGCCGCCCAGGGGCCTTACCTTCCTTCAGCATGCCCACTTTCAAGCACTTCATGAAGCGGCAAGCTTGGCAGGATTTACGCCGGCGCTTCGTGATTTCACATTCGTTCGTAGCAGGACAGCTGTACTCTATGTTCCCTGAAACACAGGGTCGGGAGGAAACAAGCCGTCAGATGGGCAAGACCCAGGAAATGTGAGCGTCCCCAGGCAGTGGCCGACTCCTGTCCCCTTCCCGCAAAATTAAACAGTAGGCACGAGGAAGTGACAAGTGTCACGAGGCTGGATGCTCTGTGACAACCACTGAAGACACATTGAGCACCGAGAAGCTATCTGGTGAAGCTCTTCAAAACTTCCTGTTCAGAATGAGCCTTTCACTTGATGCTTAGCTCACCCGGGCCAAGACCCAGTCTTTCGGGATCTCACGATCCAAAGACATTTTGAAGCAGATTATTTCTATGAAACCTCAAGCATCACAACTATCTTCTTGTATCGTCAAGTCTGGATTTCTCTTTTTTTATTAAAAAATTTTAATGCTGATACCATTGCAGTTGTTCCCTCTTCTCCACCCTTTGCCCACCTCCATCCATCCACCCCTTTCTCCGCCTTCCTAGGCCTTCACCAAACTACTGGTGTCCGTGGGGCATGCATCTATGGTATTTAGCTAAGTCTGAGTTTCTTTGGGTGACTAATGCTGGGATGCATCAAGGCATATTGTCTTTTTTTCCCCCAATATGTTTTATTGTTGTTTAGACAGAATGGAAGGGAGAGGGAGAGAGATAGAAACATCAATGAGAAACATCACTGATCGGCTGCCTCCTGCACACTCCCTACAGGGGATGGAACCGCAACCCAGGTATGTGTCCTGACTGGGAATGGAACTGGCAACCTCGTACTTCCTGGTCTGACACTCAACCACTGAGCCACATCGGCCAGGCAGGCGTATTGCCTTTTTGACATAAACTTCATTGTGGACAATAATCGGCGGGCTCATTTGGGACTTTGCAGGAAGCTCCTAGAGGGCAGCCATGCCTGAGGTTCCCTGATTCTTGCTGTGACCTGAATCACAGTCTTACAAAACAACTCGGTGCTTGGTAAATGCTTCTTATTGGTAAACAGTGATCCTCATCTTCATCATCACCATCCTCATCGCCCTTGTTACACCACTTGCAGGAGGAGATGCAAACCCCTCAGCCCCATGAAAGTGTTATGGGTAAGAACACACTGCGGTGAAATTGTGTTTTTATCATCTGAGTTTACATTTAGTGGTAGTGCTGACACATTCCACATGGTATGTAGCTGGAAGAAGATCCAAACTTCATCTGGAATTGGTTTTTCCAATGAGTGGCACTGACGGCATGTGGGAGGCACCCAGGGCCTGCCTCCAGCTTTGCCAAGAAGCTGCCTTTAGAATAAAGCCTCTCTCCCCATCAGCTCCATCCCAGGGCCCTGGAAGGTCTCCCGCTCCTTCCTAACCCTTTCCCCTGGTGATTAAGTGCATTAGTATCTTAATGAAAATGCATCCTGTTTATTGCCCTCTTGGGAAGGGGGAGGTCATCACACCAGATGCATAAATTGTCATCAGAGACGGTCTCAGCATAATTGCAATTTTGCTGCTCTGTGTCTGCTGTGCCCAGGGTCTGTCCGAGTCCCCTGAAACTAGGCACAGAGACTAGTAATTAGCATAGAGGCTGCCTGGGACCGCGGCATTGATGAAATATTTCAGAGTTAATCACACTTTGTCAACACTGATTTATATTGACTACCTTTCTCCAGACTGATGCCTCCTCGGTAAATATCACATTAGTGGATTGCAAGACAGTACAGACTCAAATCCTCAGCTACCGCTAATTCCACAGGAAGGAAGACCTCCCCGCTTATAACCACTGAAAATTGGCTCAGTGTGCATGACTTTAAAAAGGGGTTGTGCATTATCGCTTGAGATAAACCCATCCAAATAGCTTGGCTAAATTAGGGTTCCAATCCAGGGTATAATAATAAACACAACTTTTTACCATAAGAGGTTAAATAATAAGAGTAATATTAATTGCATCCAAAGAAGCATACCCATCACCTTCTTCGAAGACATTACTGATGCAATAGACATAGAAAACGAGGTCAAAGCAACCAGACTGTCTGAGCCATGTCTGAGAATAAAGGGATTGAGAATATGAACTTAGATAAACCATTTTTCCCTGCAGAGTTTCTTTAATCATCACCGAAAATTTGACATCAAGAGTGTTGCTAGTAATTTCCTGGGAGTTACTACTAGAACCTTCCATCTACAAGGCCCTCCCCATCCTTATTTGAAAAGAAACCCAGAGCCAGTGTGGCTCAGTTGGTTGAGCTCGACTCATGCACTACAGTGGTCGGCAAACTCATTAGTCAACAAAGCCAAATATCAACAGTACTTCTTCAAAATAGACTCGCCCAGGCCAAAAACTGACTTCTGCGCATGGGCCACGAAGTTTCAATCGCGTTGTATGTGCGCCCGCATGTGGTATTTTGTGGAAGAGCCACACTCAAGGGGCGAAAGATCCGCATGTGGCTCACGAGCTGCAGTTTGCTGACCACGGTGGAGGTTGCTGGTTCGATTCCCAGTCAGGGCAAATGCCCAGGCTATGGGCTCAATCCCCACTGAGGGCCGTGCAGAAGGCCGCCAGCAGCAGATCAATGATTCTCTCTCATCATTGATGTTTCTGTCTCTCTCCCTCTCCCTTCCTCTCTGAATTCAATAAAACATTTTAAAAATAAAATAAATAGAAAGAAACCCAGGTCCCTGCTTCCTTAGGAAGACAATGACTAGTGAGAAAGAAAATTAAAAAAAAAAAAGTTTTCCAAACAGCATTTCTTCCCTTTCCTATGCCTGGACTGTCAGTACGAAGGCAAACTTGGCCCACGCTCCAGTATGCAGGTGTGAGCACTAGGGCCACACTCTCAACCCAGTGCTGGCAACTTCTACTGGGATGATCCAACATCCGCACCCCACCCCCCCTCTCCAATAATCACCTTTCCTTTCAAACTAGTTCCTCTTCCTCTTTGAAAAGTATACCCTTGTCGTTCACAATAGCAGACTTCCGACCGGAACCTAAATGGGGCCTGCGTGAGCTCACACCTGGACTGTGGCAGCGACCTCCAAGCTGGGCACGATGCCTCCATCCAGTCCCCATCTAATCCAGGCCGCATGCCTCCATCCTATGCCTCTTCCGATGACTGCTTTGATCAGTCACCACCTACTTTTGTAAAAAAAAGTCCACAGATTCCTAGGGCCTCCGAGATTAAATACACCATGTTAGACTGGCTAACGAAGCCCCGCCGATGGGGCGCTCATGGGCTTTCCCAGGTTTATGGCCATTATCACCTCACATGAACTTTCCGATGCAGCCACTGTGATTGATTCTCCTTGGCTGCGTCCTGCAGGCTTCCCTCTGAGAATGATCTATCTGTGGCCCTCTTTTCTTCTTAAAATTACGTCCAAGTCTCAATGTTCAACTCAAACCCCAGCCAAATTGCTCATGAAAATGGCTCAGCCCAGCCTAGCAGAAAATGATTTCTTGGTCCTCATATCTCTTTAGATACCTCCGTCATAGCAAGGCATGCCATATTTTGTTACACCTTTTCCCGTGCATATTACCTATCTGAGGGTAAGGTCCTGGAGGCAAGGACCCTTTCTTGGGCAGCATAGCAATCCTATATGATAAAAGTGTAGTATGCAAATTGTCCCCTTGACTGGAAGGTCGTCCAGGAGTTCAACCAGGGAGCAGGGCCGGCCGGGGGAAGGGAGGGAGGCCCAGGTTGGCAGCTTGCAGCCTCTAGGGACCCTAACAGTGCACAAATATCATGCACTGGGCCTCTAGTCTTCCATGAAAAGCTAGTACATAAGCAAAGGAATACTCTTAGAACAACTTAATATTTTCATGAAATCTCAAGGTCATTTTGATGAATAGCAATTACTGTATTGTAATACAGCCATGTCCACAAGGTCAAGTGAGTGGGCTATCCTATTAGGAGGCAATTTTAAGGACACTAGGAAAAACATCCTCCAAATCAGAAAAAGTAGAAGAAAACTGAATTAATTATCAAAACCCTGAAAAGTAGCTTTGGCAAAGATGGAAATGCACAGCAAAACAGGGAGATATTACCAAGAAATGAAAAATAATAGAATATAAAAACTTCTGGGGAGGAAAAGGTAAAAAGAATGTAAGAGGCTTTAAAGGAAACAAAAATGCATCTTGATATGAATATGATAAAAATAAAATGAAAATATAGAATACAGAGAGAATTAGTTATTTAATTTCTATCTAATTATAATACTTTATTGTTTAGGTACTGTCAGAATTGCAGCCACATTGGAGAATATAGTTAGGAGTGATTCAACAACAGTAGCTAAATTTATGCATAGCTGTGTAAAGATTTTAAAATTTCTTCAAACAATAGAAACTTCAAATAGCCACAAGAGAGTTCGGTGGTTGAATGTCAACCTATCAACCTGGAGGTCACAGTTCAATTTCCAGTCAGGGCACATACTCGGGTTGTGAGCTCCATCCCGAGTGTGGGGCATGCAGGAGGCAGAGGACCAATGATTCTCTCTCATCACTGATGTTTCTATCTCTCTCTCCTTCTCCCTTCCTCTCTGAAATCAATAAAAAAATATATATATTAAAAAGGAAACAGAATTTCACTGTGAATAGATGAAAAAATAGAGTGGGGTCCTGAGTGTATTCCAAAACATATAGTTTCAGCTTAAATGCACAGAAATTGTTTAAGATGAGACCAGATATCCGTCAGCCAAGTGTCATGTTTCAGTAAATGTCTTCACGTAGGTGGACAATAACCTTGATATCACTAAGGAACACCTTGGTTTACATCTGGAGAAAAACAAAGCAGCATCATGCTAAGGAACTTATTTGCTGGAGGAAAACCTCTCTCATGTCTGAGCCCTCCCATTGAGTTGCTCGGTTCCTTGTTGTTGGCTGTGATCACCCACCCAACCAAGTCTTTGATGCATCTGAGAGTCTACAGAGCTGCTGCCCTTGAAAAACCTTCCCTGGTGCTTTTACTACTCAATAAAGAAAGCATTTATCCAAAAAATCAGTGCTGCCCCACGCCCCTGGGTAACAATGTCCCATCTATTTTGGTAA